TGAAACACCAAAAGTTCCACAGGAACTTAAGGAAAAATTCCTTCCCAGTGAGGGTGCCAGAGCCCTGGAACAGGCTGCCCAGAGAGGTTGTGGAGTCTCCTTCTCTGGAGATCTTCAAACCCGCTTGGACGCAGCCCTGTGCCACGTGCTCCAGGTGACCCTGTGTGTGCAGCGGTTGGACTAGGTGACCTCGAGAGGCCCCTTCCCACCCTAATGACTCTGCAGTTCCATGAACGGGCACCCCCCGTCCCCCCGCTCACCCGCAGCCCTGCTCGCACGTCACCGGGCGCTTGGGGTTGTGCTCGCAGTCGTTGAGGTGCGCCATGAGGTTGTCGAGGCGCACGACGGCCGTGCAGCCGAACACGGCGTTGTCGCACGTGATCTGCAGCTTGGAGAGCATGTTCCGCATGATCCGCGGCACGGGGCGCAGGTGGGCGACCGTCACCACGCTGCGGTCCACGGGGCACGTCTGCTGCTGCGAGAACCACTGCGTGATGCAGGCGTTGCAGAAGGCGTGCTCGCAGTGCGGCGCCTGCGGGCACAGCGCGCCCGTCAGCGCCCGCCGCCGGAGGAAAACAGGGATATTTGGCATCCGGGAGGGCCCTCCCGGATGCCAAATATCTCTATTTTCCTTCCCAGCCCCGTTGAGTTACCATCCTCGGTGCCCACTGGATGCCAAATTTAACCCTTGCTCCAGGTTTGGAGTTTTAAAGGTTTTAGCCCCTTTTCCACATGGGAATGTTGCTCTACTGTGTTTATCCGGCTGGAAGGGCACCGAGCGTGGGGAGAGGGAGCGGGAAGCGGAGCCGGTGCGTTTGGCCAGCACCGGATCCCGCTCCGGGATGGGAGAGTGGCCAAGAGCTCCAGCCGGGCGGGATGGGAACCAGCTGGAGCAGAGCCTGGGAATGGCCCTGGCTCCGGAGGGTACAACTTTGGATCCGGAACGGACAGCTCCAGCTCCTGAGGGGACAACTTCGGATAGAGAGGGGATGGCTCCAGCTCCTGAGGGGACAGCCGGGCACATTCGGATGTGCCGTTCAGCGACAGGGCTTAAGAGTGGGAATGGGGCCCAGGGAGGCTCTGGAATTGCCTTTCCCCGGGATATTCCCATCTCGGACACAGCCCCAGGCCGTCCGCAGCGGCTCTGGCTGGAGGGCGCCCTGCTCCGAGCAGCTGGATCACGGGTTATTCCACAATCCCTCCATGAGCGGGAATGTCCTCCCCTGTGTCAGGAATGCAGGACACAAGGAGACGGATCCGCGGGAAGCGGAGCCCTTCCCAGGCTGCTCCAGCTACACAGGGCAGGATCCAGCTCCAGGCTGCTTCTCCGCAGGGAGGCTGCTAAGGAAAAGCCTGGGAACGGGGGATTTCAGGCACCACATTCTCAAAACGAGATTTAAATAAATCTGCTTGAGAAACCTGCACCTCTCCCCTCTTTTCCACACCGATCCCTGATCCTGGATCCTCTTTCCTTGCACCATCCCAGCTCGTTCCGACACGACGGAGCCACACTTGGAAGGTGCCAACGGGTTATTTTAACCCCGATGGATCGTGGGGTTCATGCAGTCCTGCTCCAGCTCCACAATCCCGGGCTTCTCCAGGCGTCCGGCTCAGCGGCACGGCTCCAATCCCGCCTTTATCCATTTATTTGTTCCTTATTATGGCAGCGAGCTCCCCCGGGGCTGGGCTTTGGGATTAGCTCGATCCTATTCTGAGCTCTTTTATTTCCAATGAGGGATTTGCACCCACGGGCCCCAGCTCCTCCCACCCTCCTCATCCCTAACGGGGAGCTGGGAGCCGCACGGGGGCCCCCGTTGTCCCAGGAGCTGCGGCCGGGCGGGAATGGGGATTTTGGGAAGGGCACCTACCTGCACGGGCTCCTCCAGGACCCCGCTGCAGATGGGGCAGATAAGGTCCTCATCGACGTCGCCCTGGAAGCGCGCGACATCATACCCCATCGCTCGTCACCAGCGGCGGTACCCTGCGGAACGAGAGCGCCGGGAACATCCCGCGCCGGGATCGGGTTTGCGCCCCCATCCCGGGGCGGCTCCCGCGCGGCCTCGCGATTTTTCCTGCTCCGCAGGCACCCGCACCCCCTAAATAAAGGGGGGGCCTTGATATGATTTAAAGCAGTTAATGAAACGAGCAGGGCTCAATGAGTCCGTGCTGGAAGGTGCCAGGTGCCCTTCCTCGTTATTCCCAATGGAAGTGTCGGAGCCGATACCGGAGCAGCTCCGAGGAAACCTGTTCCGGGAGCAACTTCCCTAATTCCAGCGGCGTTAGGAGCCAAAGGAAATGAAATTGAAAGCAGAAAGCAAGGAAGAGGGCAGGAAAGGAAGGGAAAACAACACATGGATGGGAGCCCCGCGCCCTGCTCGGACAGGGCCCGATCCGACATTATCCCAGGCTCTGGAAGAGGGGGCAGGGGGGCCCTCGGATCGACGCCGACCTCCTCCTCCCGGCATTCCCGGCAGCTCCGCGGGGCCTTCCCAGCCCGGGAGCAGCCCTGGAGCATCCCTGGCTTTTTATTTTTCACAGTTTCATCTTTTACATTTCAGTTTTTTATTGCAGGGTCCCTCTGCTTGACAAAGGGCAGAACTTTCCATCCAAAAAACCCCAAATAAACTTGGGAAAGGAGGTTTTTTGGAAGTGATTTTCCTTCTTTTTTTGCAAAAGGAAGCTCTGGCCTTTGCAAGCAGAGGCAAAACCCAGATCAAAAGGGGAACGGGGGTTAAACGGCCACTCTTAATTTTGTAACGGCAGGAAAACCCGTTAATCGGAAGGTCCCGGCCCTGCTCGAGATCCCGGCGGGAAGGGAATGGGATATGAAGAACTTCTGCTCGCTGAATCCCTGCGGAATGGGGCCCGGAAGGCTTTCCCATCCTGCCCGGATCAGGATGTTCTCTGAGCGAGCCGGGTTCGGAGCCTCCCGGGAGCACTCGCGGCCTCCGTGCCGGCTCC